TAAGGGGTATTTTAAATTTGGTTTTTAAATAATTTTAAAATAAAAGAAAGGCCTATATTAATATTTTATTTTAACCACATTTTAAATTTGTATATTGTACTGTTATTCTGTTTTAAACTGGCTGTAAGCCGCCCTGAGTCCACTAGGAGAAGGGCGGGGTATAAATGCGATTAATAAATAAATAAATAAATAAATAAATAAATAAATAAATAAATAAATAAATAAATAAATAATAAGCATCATCTCAGGTGAAGGGCCAAGGATCATGTTCATCAACAAAGACAGCCATAGCAAAAGACAAGACACATGGCTGCTGTGACTTGACACTGATAAGAGTTCCTCTCTTCAATTTAGTTTCTTCCTTTTTCTTTCTTAGTTCCCCTTCTCAATTTAGCTTTTTCTTTCTTTCTCTCTTTTTCTAAACAGAAATTGCAAGGAGGATAAATATTGGTGGCTAAGTCTGAGGTCAAAGTTCAGATGCACTTGTACATCCCGGGGCGTATATATGAGGGATAAGAGGGAATGTTCATGTGCTGTGTACAGGGCCCCGTGTGTGCCATACTTCTGAATAACACAAAAATATTCCACAGCTTGTGCCTCCTTCATACACACTCTCCTGAGTACCACTTCCATCGGATCAATCAAGCACCAAATCAAGCGTAAGAACACTTTGGGTGTAAACAATCCTCTCTTCTCCTGACAAAGGAATGTGGGCACCAACAAGAGGGCCTTTGTCGAGTGGCTGGGCAGCAGCATCCATTGTTCCAAACCCCTCCCCCCAAATAGCTTCCCTTCCACCACCACCCACCCCCTTATTTTTCCTAGTATTATTCTGAGGGATGCAGAGAAAAGAGAGAGAGAAAGGAGAGAATGTGCTTTGTCAGCGTAAGTGGCTGGAAAGAGCTAAGTTCTTATCAGCTGTTAGAAAGGAAGAAACAGGAGCCCTTGTTTACAGAAGTCAGATGCCTGGACTCTCGCTCAGCTCTCCCCCACCCTCATCTCTTCCTGATTCACACAGAGATTCAAGCTTCATTTACCTATGTCAGACTGGCTTTTTGCTCTGATTCAAAAATCCCCCAAGAGCTGGAATCAGACCTCTCAAATATTGGCTACTATGCCTACCTTTAAACACTCCATCTTGTGTCCTTCATGGATACTAGTATAAGAACACTAATCACTATTACTGGATCTCCCTTAATGCCACCTTCCACTTCTTCCTCTTCCTCTTCTGCCAGAAATGCTTAGAAAACACATTTATTGGGCATGTTGCTGATTAACTACTTCCTAAGCGGGAGTATTTTTAGCTCAACATCCCTTCTTCAGAACTACTGCCAGCCTTTCCCCCACCCCCATTGGAGAATCTAAAGAGAGAACTAAAGCTTAGGGGTCTGACTTCAATAGAGTGATGATGAATTGCCCCAGCTGGGGTCTTGACCTTTGGTGGTTTTGGACAGAGCTGTAGATTAAAGAGACTAAGAAGCAACTTCCCTTTAAAAGTGTTTTCAGAAGAGGATTCAGACCACCTACAATATGGGAAGCAGGGAGCAGGACAACTCAAGATGCCAGACGCAATATGACAGGACAACCAAGACAAGGAATTGGATGCTTTGCAGAATAATCGTCCCCAATTTGATCCTGTCCAGATTTGGGGGATTATATTTCCCAGGATCCCAGCCAATGTGAGCCAAGTTCACACTGGCTGAGAATTTTGGATGATATAATCCCAACATGCCTGGAAGGAATATCTGGTTGGAGAAGGGTGATGTAATAGAGGTGTAAATAAATTCTAATGAGCAAAAAGTTTAGAATTCTGCCCTGTTGATCAAATAAGCATGTATTTCCTTGATGAAAAATTAAAACACAGGCATATTTTTAAAAAAGGATACCAGGGATATGCACATGCCAGAATATTAGATTCACATTTTGTGAGATAGGTGGCCCTATAAAATAAATGAACGAATGAATGAATGAATGAATGAATGAATGAATGGAAGGAAGGAAGGAAGGAAGGAAGGAAGGAAGGAAGGAAGGAAGGAAGGAAGGAAGGAAGGAAAGGTGACTGGCATTTTAAAAAATATTTCAGCAATTTGTGTTAACAATTAAATTACAAAGTCCCCATATGCTGCAACCACTGTCTATGGATTGAACCCATACAACAATCCACCAGGATACCAACTAGTAATACAGTGGATCAAATTGAAAAGATTTTTAGAGATTTACACAACCCAAGTAATGAATTCTGTCTTCAAAGATTTAAAATTTTGCAAGAATTTTTCTTTCATAGCAAGAAAGACTAATACTATCATATATTTTCTTTCTCTACACTGAAGTCTTTGGGGCACAGTGGTCAGAATTTTATGTGAAAATCTAAATCTTCTGAAAGCAAAACTTCCAAATCCTAGTTAGTTGCCATTCCCCAAAGCACTATTTTAGATACAAATGAAATTAGATTAGGCCTAATAATTAAGGAAGCTTTTATGTACTGCTTCTCCTGATAACACCACTATGGATGGTTTCTTACTTATTAATGGGTATTACTTAATTAAGGTGTTGTCAACAGTAGTTTTCACATGGTCTGAGATGGACTTTCAGTATTCATGACTACCTTGCAGCATGTCTGAATGAAGTTAAGGGTGTTGGTTGGCTAGTAAGTAGATAAAGGATTGCAGTGTGTTTACTTAATTCTGGCTGTAAGCCAGGGTTTTTTTTGTCATAGAACGCCCAGAACGGAGTTCCGGCTCCTTTTTAAGATGGAACCTTGTAGGGTAGGCAAGGCGGGTTGTATGACATGTGTGAGTTCCATATTCAAATTCTGTAAGAGGAATATAGAACTATTTGCATTTTTTGATTGTATGATCATGCAGATGTAGAATACAAGATTTTGAACCAAGCAGTCTGATATTATTCAGGTACAAAAGAAGTCTTAGATCACATTTAGCTTTTCTTATCACTGGCCATTCTGGCTGAGATTCATAGGAACTAGAGCTTAATCACATCTGGATTTTCAGTTCAGCCCCAGCCACCCACCAGCAATACACAAAAGCTATCATAGCATATATAGCTAAGGTGAGGCCTCCTGAGATGCTGTTTCATGTATAACTTTCCAAAACACCGTGTATTGTTATACATGGATATATTGGCACTTTTCCAAGCTGAACTCATTTCACTCCCCCCCCTATACTTACTGAAATAAAAGCCTCTGTCCCCACAGACAAACTGTAGTGTATCCACCAGCTCTCCACCACAAAGAGTTTCAGCAGGACTATATGCAGAGACGGAATCAATCGTATATGCCAGGAAGGTGAGCATAAGCAGCAATATCCGCCGGGAGATGCACATTTTCTGTATGTGAAAGAGAAAAATCCATCATGTTAAAAGCTGCTCCTATAAGTGACCTCTAAACTAACAGGGTTTGTCAGACCAGTCATAGCAAGCCAGACATGGATCAAGTACACAGTGCTTGGACAATAGGCTTAAAAATTATAAAAATCTATAAGCATAAAGAAATGTTTTTTTCAAATGTATGTTCTGAATACCACAACACACACTAAAAAAAAAAGCAGGTAAAACACAATTTCTCCCTGCAGCTTCTCTCTGCTTTTGCTTCAATTAATAGAAATCAAAATACTAAGCCTGTTTCATTATTTTCTGTTTTAGATGTTCAAATCCAGATGTAGGTCAGCAAAGATGGAAACAGCTTCCTGCATTTCTATGGAAGATGAGGTGATGATGAAAGCAAAATTATAAACTTCTCAATTCCTCTCTGAGCCCAAGTAAAGTCATGAGTTGGAATCTGTGTGAAAAGAAGTTTCTCTACCCCTGATGAAAAATGTCAGCAATTCTGTTGTGATTAATTTTTAGTTTCAAAACCTAACTACAATCATTCAAAGCACTATATTTTGTTAAAACATATAAATTAAACTGGCAGATACAATTTTAGAAAAGACCTGCCACATGTGAAAGAATAAGGAAGACTTACTCTGCCTTTTACAAGAATGTTGCATCACTATACAAAATGAAAATTGGTGAATCTGCTAATTGCCAAAGTGCTGTGGCTCTGTATCTAGACAGTTTTTTCTGGACATCTTTAAATCAGATCAGCATTACTGTTTTAAAAGAAAACATACCAGCTCTCTAACTACTACATCAGAACCACATCAAGCAGATGGGATGACCTTTCATTGAGTTGGAAAAAATCCCACAGTGATCTAGTTCAATCTATTCCTGGCTTAGTCTCAAGCTTTCTAACGTGACCCTGGGCAGAGTTTAAGGCCAGCTTTCTATCCATTAATCCATTCTATCTATTATGGAATACTAGCTTTCCAGTAACTTATGGTATGTTAAGTCTTTGGTGCAGTGTTCCTCAGCAACACTGTAAAATGTGTGGACTTCAGTGTGTGTGTGTGTGTGTGTGTCTGTGTGTGTCTGTGTGTGTCTGTGTCTGTGTCTGTATCTGTGTGTGTGTTAATATTGATTAGTATAGATTCAATTTATTTTCTTCCATTGGCTTAGAACCAAATAATCTACCTTTGTTGCTTTTCTAAGAAGCTTACTGCATTGCTAAATGGAGGATGTTCGGGAGAAAGAAAAAGAAAGGAAGGAAGGAAGGAAGGAAGGAAGGAAGGAAGGAAGGAAGGAAGGAAGGAAGGAAGGGAGTTAAACTCTCCCCATAGAGCAAAATTCAATGGTACAATAAAAACATCCACCTCCTAATGGATGTAGTATTCAAACACTAATATTCAAACACATCTCAAAATCCATCTCCACTTGTTTTTCCAAGGGCTAATGGTGACATGTCAGCAGCCCAATCCTGTATGTGCAGGTAAAGGCTAATGCTATCAGAGGAAATGCTAATTAGATACACAGCTTCCAAGTATTGTCTTGTGTTTTCTGATTCATCCAGCAAACAGGTTCCAAGTCTACAGAGATATGTCCAAAGAATCCAGTAAGCTAGTACTAATCAGTAATGCTCTTAACAATTAAAAAAATGCTGTGAAAATGTGACAAACATGACTAATCAGCTGCCTAAGATCATTTAATAAGATCATTTGCATATGATCACATAGGCATATAAGTATTTAGACTGCTAAATAATGCAACATGTGCTGGTTAAAATTTATGATCAGGAAGCCCATCCCCTATTAACTTTTGCCTCCTGGCAAGACTCAAAAGTTAGTTTAACCACTTTGTCATCGACCCTGTCCCTGCTGATTTCTCATAAAAGATTGCTTAATTTTTATATATTTGGCAAAATCTATGTGTGTATGTGTACACACACAAACTTCATTTTTCCAGGAGGACTCAAATCTGGGAAATCTATCTCTGTGTCAAAAGTTGATAGTTACTGGCCACCTCCCCTTGTGAGATCTATTACTCCATCTCTCTTCTCACCTGCCTATAGTTAAACAAGAGGTGATGTGGCACATATTCGTCTGCCAAAAATATACAGATAGATGCCCCATTATAGCAGAATGTTGGCACTGCTCTTGAAAGATAATCACACAGACCTTTTTCTGACTTGTGAAATGAAAGTGACCATTGAGGAAAGAGGTGGCTTCAAATTAAAGCTCTTTAGTGCCACTACTACAGTCCTCACAACCAATTCTATTTTTCTTCAGCTCCTTCTTTTCTTTGAAGATGTATTTTTACAAAGGCAGCCAGAAAGTGCAGCCACAGCTAATCCCAACCCACTCTTATGCTGCAATTGCCCACCCAAACTTTGGATCAGAAGTTAGATAGTTTTAGGACACTATTGTCAGCAGTGGGAATTAGATATTCTTCCAGTTCTATGTTAGAATCTATTCTCATTTTTTTTCTTTTTAAAAATGTTGACCCGTAGTTAGCACATATAAATCTTTTTTTCTGCTGTTTGATAAAATTATTAAAATTTACTTATTCATAACAGTTTTGATATATGGCTACTCTTTACAGACACAGTGTAATACAAAGCTGCCTCCCCTTAAATCAGTGTTTCTCAACCTTGACAATTTTAAGGCATGTGGACTTCAACTCCCAGAATTCCACAGCCAGCAATGCTGGCTGTGGAATTCTGGGAGTTGAAGTCCACATGCCTTAAAATTGTCAAGGTTGAGAAACACTGCCTTAAATGAAATAATAAGGTACAACCTATTTCAATTTACATCTACAAATAAAATAATATAACAGTTCTGAAACATAGTGGATATCCATCCCCCAATGGATGCCTCTGGAACCCAATGCACAATCTACTTTTTATTCTGTGAGCTCTCCCTCCCACTTAAAAACGCTACTCCTTACCTTGAGTCTGCCCCCCCTCCCAATTATCATCAGAGGTCAATGTAATATGGTAGGAAACAAGGCCAAAAAAGGAGAGCTTTTTAATTGCTTAGTGCTGAATTCCTTTTTTTTTCCCTCCCCCAGATGAATCTTCTACAAACAACCAACCAACCTGGCATCTTTATTCCACTGAAGACAAGACAATGCAGTAGTAGAGATAAGAGAGGCTTAGTAGGAGGTTTAGTAGTCAATGCTGCAATGGGGCCTGTTTGTAGTCAGCTCATAATATACCACAGAAGTGAAAGACAGTTTTCTTAATGTGATGTCCTTCAAATGTTTTGCTAAGGAAGTTGTTATTACATGGTCCCATCAGGGTACTGATTTAGGAAATCAAATCCAAGTCCATATTTTACTTGCAGCATGTGCTGTTCTGGCATTTTGGGAAACTAGGGAGTTACTGCAAGATGTAACTCAGTGGTTCTCAACCTTTTTAATGCCGCGATCCCCAACCGGTCGTAAGTCGAGGACTAAACCGGTCGTAAGTCGAGGACTAAACCGGTCGTAAGTCGAGGACTACCCAACCGGTCGTAAGTCGAGGACTTTCCCTGCCCGGGAGCGCTGCGCATGCGTGGTTCCGCCCCCTGCGCCGGCCGAGGCGTAGCTGGCAAGCGGCAGAGACAGAGCAGGCCGACCACCAGCTGGCCCAGCCCAAGGGAGGTAAGGCACCTGCTGGAAAAGGGGGAAAAAATGGCGGACAGCCTTGCTTGGCGACCCCCGTGAAATGGTCGATCGACCCCAAATGGGGTCCCGACCCATAGGTTGAGAACCGCTGATGTAACTAAACCTAGACAGGTTATCTCCCATGTTCATCCAAGATCAGCATGACAGATAGGGCTGCTTTTTAGGAAATGGAACAGATGCCTTAACCTCAGTGCTTCAGAAAACAAATGCATAATCTTTGGGAATTTCTCTCACTCTAAGCAAGTCAATGGGTTGGAATATCAAGTGGTCTATACTTGGTAGACACATATCTCTTCATATTAATGTGTTTAAGCCATTCAATTAATTAAAAATGAGCATGGGGGAGGAGGATCTATTTGCCTCATGAGAATGTAGATATGTAACATACATTTTAAATTGTTAGGGTTTAGACCAGGGGTAGGCTACCTTGGCTCTTTTATGATTCGTGGACTTCAACTCCCAGAATTCCTGAGCCAGCCATGCTGGCTCAGGAATTCTGGGAGTTGGGGAGTCCACGAGTCATAAAAGAGCCAAGGTTGCCTACTCTTGGTTTAGACAGTTACATTTTAACACCACCAAAGTTTGATATACATAGACATGCACATCTTCAGGCACCTCCAGAGGAACCAGAATTGACAATCTCCCCAGTGATATTAAATTCTTGCACATTTGAAAAGCAAGCACAGATGTAAGTTGTTCTAGGTCATAACTGATAAAAAAGTGCAAATTATGATGGTTGAATCAGCAGGTAGGTGCTTTCTCCGTGTGTGTTTGTCCAGCTAATTTCTGATGGTAATCTCCTGAACAGAGTTTCCCCACCCTACTGGGAGAAAAATGGAAGGGAAGAATGAGTTGTATGTGACAGAGCGTGGATGAAGTATTCTGAATCACTGTTTACCACCTCTACCCTGAAGGTTATGTGTCCCTCCACTCAGCTTTTTATAGAACTATTGGCTAAGAATTCACAGTACACTATCTTCTGCCATCTTACACAGACATACACATGGAATAGGCAGCAATATGTTTTAGTGTGGTGTACTTTAATGTGGTTCCAACTTTCCAATTATGTTGTTTCATTCCCCTTCCCTGCAGTCTTCTCTTCTCACCTCTCCACAAGCCCAGAAATTCAACCATCAGCCAGTATTCTGTCCACAATATTCTGAAAGCCAGCTTGGTCTAGTGGGGTTAAGGCAGCAGGCTAAAAACCAGAAGATTGTGGTTCTAGTCCCACTTTAGGCACAAAGCCAATTGGGTGACTTTGGGCCAGTGCCTCCCTTAGCCCTAGGAAGGAGGCAGTGGTCAACCACTTCTGAAAATGTTGCAAAAAAAAAACTGCAGGGACTTGTCCAGGCAGTCTTTCCAAGCTCATTGAAACTTCATGAGATCAAAATTCGCAGTATAAGCACACTCTCAAAAAGCAAAAAGCAGAAGACCAATCAGGAGAAGCTGATTTATGATTGCTGCTGTAGTGTCTCTTGTGAAACAGGCCTGAGTCTTCTAAAAAAGGGAAAACTTTTTTTTTCCTCATGCAAATATACGTAGTCGTAAACCAATCAAACAGAGCAATTTCTAACTCATATACTAATGAGCTCACATTTCTCCAATTAAGGAGCAGCTATGCTAAATGTTTGGTGGATTTATTTCAGCTGAGCTGGGTAAGTGCTCTCTCAGCCTACCACAAAGAGATGAAAGTAGGTCCTGCCCCAAAATTGTAGGACAGTGTTCACCTAGCTAGCAGGTGTCATGCCAGCAGTGAATTCTGGTATGTGCTGCCCAACACATCAAGGAGTTCCAGATTGAGGAAAACTGATGCAGGAGCTGATCTATTTAGCTTATCTTTCAGGTGGGGCGCTGCAACCATGAATTTAGGTGAGTTCTTCAAGACTATTCAAAATCCCAACCATAAATAAATGTGTTCGTAATTGGGAGTGCATAAATGAAAAGGCAAGTACGTAAAAGGATTTTGCCTAGCTCTCTTACCTTGCACACACAGAAGCAAGCCAGACCACCCTGTAGAAAGACTGCAAAAAGATCCTTTTTTTGCTCTTTAGTGCCATTGCTTTGCCTTCACACTCATTTTCTAAGTTTTCCAGACAGCCAAGACACTTAAATGAAAGGACATTCTTTCTCTTGCCCTTTGTCCTGGTAACAAATACAGTCTACGTTCACTCAATTCCCTTAACCACTCCAAAAGGACATTGGTATCAGTTAAGCCTTTAGACTGGGGGAAAGGAAGGATAGAAGGAAGGGCAGAAGGGAGAGCTGGTCCTGTTTACTCATTCCATCAGAGTCTAAGAAACTGCTTGAACTTTGAGGATCCACTCCAGGAGGTCTTTTAAAGAAAGAAGTAAGACTATATTCACAAGTTTTTAAAAGAAATAATAAAACAAATTCGCTTCACTTTTGAAAAACATCTGGCAGAAGAGGGGGGAAAAAAAGGAAATCTAAATGTCTTCAGCCAGCTGAACCGATCAGTTTTAATCTCCCAAATTCACAGCTTGTTCTCGGTCTTCTGCATTTGTTTCCAAGCCCTGAAGTAACTCAAAGCTACGGACAACAATATTACATCACTCGGTTACAGGGAGAATTAAGGTGACTGAAGTGGACGCAGACTTCATCCAAAACCACATTTGTGTGTGTTGCATTTCCTGCTAATATGGAGCATATTCTTTCCAGCTTCATTTAACAAAACAGTCCCTTGGCTATCTCTGCTTGTTTAAAAGCATCTTATTTCAGGGCCTCCTCCTCCTTTCCTGTACACAGCTAATGAAGTAGGCACTTGCTTTGAAATGACCTTGCTGGGGATAAATGAGCTAGTCTAAGCTGCCATTATGAATTTTAACAGGAGAGTAGCGTGCAGCGGGCAATGCCCTCGCTGCAGCGAAACCCCCTCCCCTCCCAAATGGGCTCAGAAAGAAGAAGAAGAAGGAAAAAAAAAACCTTTTAAACCATCCAGGACCCGTGTGCATTTAGCTGCATAATACCAGAATATCAAAGGTTTCACTGATTTCTTTGGGATGTTGCTGATCAAGATCACTCCAGGAGCGAGAGAAAGACAACTCTTATAATTGAATGACCTTGTCGACAGAGACTGCACAGGTAAACACTTTTCCTCTTGAAAGGCAAATGAGCGGGAAAGCGGTCGGCTTGATTGCCAGAAGTAAAGGCTTTAGCTGTGCAGCTTTCCATAAAGGCTCCAACAACAACAACAAGGGGAGTCCCCTTTTCACTGCTTCCCCTTTGCATGGCAACCCCGGCTCAGCTCTTTCTCCGCTACAACTTTTTGTGCCAGAGTGGGGAGGGGGGGAGAGAGAGGGGGGGGAGAGAGAGAAACACATCCTCAAGTAAAGCAACTATCCCTGTTTTCCACAGAAGCTAGTACAGTGTTTCTCAACCTTGACAATTTTAAGGCATGTGGACTTCAACTCCCAGAATTCCACAGCCAGCATGGCTGGCTGTGGAATTCTGGGAGTTGAAGTCCACATGCCTTAAAATTGTCAAGGTTGAGAAACACTGAGCTAGTCGTTTTGCACAGCACCGTGTTATAAACAGCAACATGCTATATAGCTCAGGAGCATCAGCTGGGAGGCGTAAAGCATCCTTCTCAGGTCCCAAGCATCTTTTTCATGCTACCCAGTTTTAACAGTCTTGTCTTTTTGTTTGTTTGTTTGTTTGTTTTTAAAACTGAGCCTTAGAAACTGTGTTGATCTACGACTGGCTGGTTCAGACACACTGAAAGCTGTAGAAAACCACAAGCTCCCTTCTGCGTTCCAACCCCTACGGCTCTGCCCAGGGCTAAAACTTTTTTTTAAGCTTCTCCAAACCATTCCTCCAAAGAAAAGAAAACTGGAAGAGAAAAAAAAAGGGGAACTCTAACAGTAATAACAGTTATCCTAATAAGGCCCCACGAAGTGGGAGAGACCCTCTTGCCAGACCTTTCTTCTCACTCAAGTTCTTGGCTTGCTGTCCCTTGCTTTGATCCGGTTTTCACTCCTCATTGATCTAACACGCGATATAGCGTTTCTAAACCTAGTAGCCAGCAGAGCCTTAAGAACGATGTGTCCTTTGCAACAACGCAGCGATCTTCAGAAGCTTCCTCCTCTGAGCGGCTTAAGGAAAGCAGAGAGAAGCGATGCAAAAATATATAAACCTAACTAACATTCAGAACATGACCTTGCGTGTCCTTAAAACGTGCAGGCAAAAAACCCAAGCAAGTATCCAAATCGCGCACCGGACATTTACGGACTTCGCCTACAGTTCTTTCGCAGCTCAACCCCTAGCGGCAAAAAACAAAGCACACCTTTTGGATTTCCTGCTCCAGACCTTCCCACCGCGGCACATGTTCACAAGAGCTACCGGCTATTTAGGATATACTTTCGGCAGTCAAAAGTAGCCCCCGGGCTAGCTAGAATGTCGTTTATTAGCTTCGCTTTTAAGGCACCCCAAGGCGGGAAAAGGCGCCCACAACTTCTGCCCACCGCTTCCTCTTCTACCATTCAGGGACCTAAAGTCGTCTCCAATAACCCTTGACGGATTCAGACCGTCTACAATGCTTCTCATTCATCGGGGCTTTTTATATCGATTGTTTTCCCCCTACACTCACTCACACACACACCCCCTCCCCGCGCGCGCGCGCACACACACCCCCATTTCTTCTTTCTGGGTAGGAACTTTCATACAACCTCTTGGCTACCCAAGCCGGGAGCGTGTGCATCTCTCCCTCCGCCCGCCCGCTCGCCTAACCTGTACTGTAAAAAAGCAGAAAAGTGCCACAATCATCGCAAAACTCCAAAAAAAAAAAAGAAAGAAAGAAAGAAAAAGAAAAACCAACCCAAAGCATTCTGACCAAACCCTCGGGGTCCCTCTAGTGTCAACATGTCCGCATCGCAGAACGAAGAACTAAAAAAAAAAAAAAAAGTTTTTTCTCT